GCCCAAGCCTCGACCGAGGCCTGTGGCGAGCGGGCCCGAGACCGAGGGGGCCCACAGCATCCCGCCCCTTATGCTCCAGGGGGGGATGGCTCAGAATGCGGGCCAGCAATCTTGTCAGCTCGAGCGCGGGCAGATGTATCAGCCGCGCTGGTCGATGGTGACGATGCCGAGCCTGAAGCACCTGGCGATGCAGCGGCCTCAGGAGCGGACTCGCCCTCCTTGGAGCCTGCTTCGCCTCCAGGAGTCGCCTTGGGATCCTGTCCTCCAGCTGTGGCGCCGCCTTCTTCGTCGGTCCTCCTCTTCTTGAGCGCCATCCGCGTGGCCAGGGCCTTGTGCTCCACGCGAAGCGCCTCGACCTTGGACTAGGCCTCCGCGAACATGCTCATGGCCATGGCAGTGATGCCTGACTTGAACTCGCCGACGCGTTGAGCCAGGGCCTCCTCGTCCTCGCGCGAGAGGCCTTCCTCTGGAGTGATGGCGAAGGTGTCCCCGAGCTCGAGATCGAAGATCGACGAGAAACGTGATCATCCACAAGGTCTTCAAGAGAAAGCTTGGACGATGCGCGAGTGGTAGCAGCGTCGGTCGGCAATGCCTGGTTGAGCTCTCTGACCAATGCGCGATGTTCAGCCTCTGACTGCACGAGCTCCGCTCGCAGCTGAACCACGTTTTGCCGTGCCGTCTCCAGCTGATGCTCAAGGTGGTCAAACTTAGCGCGCGCAGCTTCCAACCGACGCTCAGCACCTATAGCTCGCCGGTGTGCTCGATTGAGGCGAGCGTGCACCGCTTCGGGCGCTTCAACTGGCTTGCTGAGAGCTGCGGCCGCCTTGCGATATGTGGCTGCACCAGCTGAGTCTCCCATTTTCTCGCACAAGCTGGCCATCTGGTTGTATTCTTCAACTGTGAGCGGCGGCGCTGACTTCTTTTGGCCAGAAATCGAGGCAGCAGGGGGCTTGCCTTTGCCAGCTCCTTTCCCTCCGTCGTGAGAGCCTTTGCCTTCTCCCGCTTCGTGCTCTGCGTGTGCAGAACCTGCATCCTCAAAGAGGGCCAGCGACCGTTGGGGGAACAGCCCGCCTTGGATCCATTTCGAAGCGAGCCGCAGTGCTTGCGGTAGAAGAAGCGCGCCTCATTCTTCCTGCGTCCGCATAGATCACACCGCCACCGCCCCTGTCCTCATCCATGAGCGTGATAGCCACCAGCACGGTAGCCACAAGCACCTTGAAAACCTGGGGCGGGTGGCGGCCAATGGGCCGAGTCCGGGCGACGCGGGGGCACACGTGCAGCACCGACGCCTCGATGTAGTCCGCCTCCTGCACCTGTGTGCTCGTTGCGGTGCACCCATGGGCGTCGTGCCTTGCGCTGTCCTTTGCCCCCGCCTGTGCCACCTCGGTCCGCCATGGCACGCGGCGAGACGTGGTGAGATGCTCCCGCAGGAGCGAACTTGAAATCGTAAGTCAAAAGGCCCGCAACAGCTAGAAACCGTTCTGAAATCGGTAACTGTTGCAAGCGCAGGCAGGAACATGCCTGAGCCAGAACGGCTAGGAAGCCTCCGAAACACCCCAGGAGCCTTCAAGATGCCCCAGAAGAGACTCCCAATACAGCAACATTGTAGCTTTCCTATAAGTTTTGACGTTTTTTGTGTTCTCGCTTTGTCGGCTTCCCGACGCTCCAAAATAGCCTAAGAGGTCCCACAGATCGTCCCATGACGGCCTCAGAGCCCCCCAAGAGACAGCCCAGGCGGCCGAATACAGCCCAAGACGCTCCCCACACGGCCACGGAAGCTTCCAAGATCGCCCGATAAGGCCTCAGGAATGCGCCAAGAGAGGCTCCAGATGGGGGTGCCGAAACCGACTTTTCGAGCTCCCCGCCCAAAAAGCCCTTCAGGAGGCCCCACGAGGCGCCCAAGAGTCCCCGCGAAGCCCCTACATCGCCCTCAGGAAGCCCCAGGAGGCCCCGAGAAGCCAGAAAACAGGCCGCCAGAGGTCCCAAAGGAGGCTTTTCGATTGCTCAAGGGCCCCCCAGGACGGCCGCGGACGCCCCGACAAAGCTTCACAACGTCAAGCGGACAACATGGGAACCAACGCAATGCGCCCCGTAGTCCTCATCTTCTTTGCTGTTCACTTTCTCGCAAGTCACGCACGCCTGTCCTCCGCCGTTGGCTCGTATTGTGGCATGATGAAACAGAACCCCAACTGGGCCCAACGACTGCCCCAGACCGCCCCGAGGTAACCAGAGACGCCCCCGACACACACGCTAAACACATGAACCCTTCCAAAGAGACGCCTCAACCCCTTTTTCGAAGCTCCCCACCTGCTTCCGTCCCAATCTTCCTGTACACCCCCCGTTCGCTCCTGCTGCTCCCCTCCTCCATCATGTCGCCTGCCAGTTCCTTCGTTCCCCGTCTCCTCCATCCGCCCTCAACATCCTCGGGGAGCCCCGCCAAGTTCTGAAACGGACAACAGGGAACCAACATGGCCGCCCTGGTTTCCCCTCCTTCCATGCCCCTGCCGATCGCACGAACCATCCCCGCCTGCATTCCAAGGTTGGGGTTCGTGGCTCTGGAAGTTTTCAGAACGTCGACTCTCGAGGTCTCGGCTCTCTCTCTTCAGGATCGGTTTTTCACCCCGAGTCGTTACTGGGCGGTCCCGGGGCCCAGTAAGGGCACCCGGAGGCCGAGAATAGCGAAAAACCGCCCGCCGTGATCGTTTCGTGACTCCAGAGGGGGTCTGGGTGGTCCTCTTGCGGTGCCTGCCCACTCGTCCGCACCTCCCTCACCCTCCGCCCCTCGGGGTGGTGGCGCACGCAGGTGGGCGTGCGCCCCACAGGGTCCTTGTTCCTCCCTCCCTTCCACCTCCCTCCTCCCTCCCTCCTCCCTCCGTCCCTCTCTCCCTCCTCCCCCCCTCCTCCTCCCTTCGCCCTCCGTCCTCGTCCCTCCTCGGCCCGCGAAGACGTCCAGAAAGGAGGGTCCAAGCGTACCTCCACCGTCTTCACACCGTAAACCAGTAGACCAGTCAACTTATCTCTCATATTCCTCCTACACCGTAAACCAGGGGGATACACACATATATATATATATATGTATATATTCTATAGGCTTACCTCACATCCGCCGACCCCTTGTATTTCTTGGGGGGGGCAGGATCTCTTGAAAGCCGTTTTGAAAGCGCTTCGGGTTCGTTTTGGGGGCCTGTCGGCGCGTTTTCGGGGCCTCCTGGGTGCATCTTGGGGCATCATGTTGCGCTCCTGGTTTGCGGTGCCAGGCTCGCTCCGGTCCGAGGGGGGGGGTCGAGTCTTCGGTTGCGGGCTCCCGGCGGGGTTATAGAGATTGACGCGCCTGGAGGCCGTCAATGGGTCGGAGCATTCTCGCGCTGTCCTTTGTTTCTGGGTCTCGAGGGGGCTCCTCATGATGAGGAGCCCCCTCGAGACGAAATGGGTACGGAAAGAATGCGTACGATGCCCAACAGCAGTTCCTGTTCATTTTGAACAGGGCTCGCTGTCCGCGCCGCCGCGGCCTGTGTCTATTTGAGACAGAAGGCCGCCTTCCCAACAGCGGCCGCCGTTGGTTGGGGACAACATTTGTTGTTGGGCATTGTATCCATTTGTTCCGTACCCATTTCGGGCGTCCAAATCTTCGCCGCGGTTGCAACCAGCTCCAGAATTCTGGACTAGGCGCATGTGTGGGACAAAGCCAGGGATGGCTCCGGTAGGGGGTCCTCTGGGAGCCGTCTTGGAGCGTCTACGGGGCCTGTGGGGGCCCTCCCGGGCCGTTCGCGGCGCCTTCATGGGCCGTCAGGGGGCCATCTTGGACGGTCAGGGGGCCGTCTTGGGGGGTGGCCCAAATGAGATTCAGGATCCTGGGGGAGGGGGACGGGGGAGGAGGAGGGCCAATCATTTTACGCTCCTTGTCACCCCCAGCAAGCGGGGGTCGGCGGATTACCAGTACCAAAATTGAGGATCATTTTCCCTTGGTGGAGCCACCCCCCTGTGTTGGTGTTGGTGCTGGTGGTTGCCAGAGGTGGGTGTTGGACGTCATTGTGGTGCTGGTCGCAAACGTGGCTCTCGTTGTGTTGTTGCTACTGTTGGCGCTCTTGGCGGCGGTGCTGTTAGCCGCCACCGCCGTGGTGGCGCAGTCGGTCGCGTTCTTTGGTGGCGCTGTTGTGTTCGGTTGCGTCCACGAGTGCGGTGCTGTTGCAGGCCGTCGCTGTGGAGGTGGTATTGCTGTCAGCTGCTGCCATGATGCTGGTGCTGGCCGCAGTCGTTGTGTTTTTTGTCGTACGTCTTTCCGCAAACGATCGAGGTCACCTTCCCTAGTTTGCGTTGTTCCTGAAGAAGGGGTTCACAGTCGGATTACCTGGGTGGGCGGCGCTGGTCATGGCAGCCGTCGTGGCGGCATTGGTGGTCACAATAGTCGTGCTCGTGATGGTGCGGCTGCCGCGTGCCGTATTGGTGGTGATGCTGATTATCGCCAGTTCCTCTTACACCGCAAACCATGGGAATATAGATTGGGGGAGGGGGGTGGAAACCAGTAAACACCAGTACACCGGTAAACACTAGTATACACCAGACACCGCTAAGCACCAGTACGCCAGTAACTCTCCCCCCTCCGCTCCTCGGGGTGGTAGCTCACGCATGTGGGCGTGCGTCCCACAGGGTCCCTGCTCCTCCCTCTCTCCCACCTCCTCCTTCCCTCCTCCCTCCCTCCATCCCTCCCTCCCTCCTCCCCCCCCCTCCTCCTCCTCCTCCTCCTCCTCCTCCTCCTCCTCCTCCTCCTCCTCCTCCTCCTCCTCCTCCTTCCTCCTCCTCCCTCCTCCTGCTCCTCCTCCTCCTCCTCCTCCTCCTCCTCCTCCTCCTCCTCCTCCTCCTCCTCCCTCCGCCCTCCCTCCTCGTCCCACCTTCTTCACACCGTAAACCAGTACACCAGTCCACCAATCCCTCATATTCCTCCTATGCCGTGAAGCAGGGGGACTCCTACACCGTGCTCCTTTCTCCTGTTCCTCCTGCACCGTACGCCGTATTCTTCACATGGTAAACCGGTCCACCAGTCCACCAATCCATCCTCTTCTCCTTCCTCCTCCGCAGCCGCACCTCGGCCCCGCAGGGGGCCCCGCATGCCACGGCGCGCAGGGCGGCGAACCCTCTCGGCCGCCTGCGGCTGCGCTGCCCTCGCGGCCCGTGCGCTCAGGCCACCCCAGGGCGGGGGCGGTGCACTCGGCAGGGGCGCGCGGGGGGGCGTCCACCGCCAGGTTATGTCCGCATTCACCGCTTCGGAGTCGCGCCCCAAGATCTGAAGGAGCGGCGGATCTGGATGTCTGCCCGCCCGCGTGGGCGGGCAGACACCCTTATCCACCGCTCCCCGAGCCCTCGGAGCACGACCCACCGGCAGTGGATCTGGTCATATTTTGGCGGCGCAGGGGGGGCCAGTCTCGGGGCTCTCCAGGAGAAGCCTCGCCTTGGAGGGGTCGAGAAGGCTACTCGACTAGACGTAAGACTGACCTTTCGCCGGAGTGACCTTTGGTGCGGGCCCTCTGGGGACCCCCGATCTCCGAACGCGACGCGGTAGTAGCGTCTTGCGCGCTTGTGTTTGGCCACCCCGCGTCCACCGTTGAGCAGCGCACCAAAGGTCACTCTTACCCAGGGACCCAGAGTCACTCTTGCGTGGTGTAGCCGCGTTACCCTCTCTTCCTCGGCGGAGAGAGGTGGACAAGGCCAGCGGAAGGCCAGCAGAAGCTGGCGGATGTAGCGCGGCAGCGGGTCTGCCAGCGGAAGCTGGCGGAAGTAGAAACGAGACGTCTCGGGGCTCAAGAGACAGGGGTCAATGCAAACGGGGGTCAGCCAGGGCTTCGGGCGCCGGATCCTGCAGGATCCTGCAGAGCCAGGGGTGCATTGACCCAGGCTTGCGTGCAGGATCTTGCAGGATCTTGCAGGATGCTGCGAGGCCTGACCAACCCCGTTTGCATTGACCAGGGTCAGTAGATCTCCGACAGTCGATCTCGGGGGTCGGGGGGTGGGGGCCAGTCGGTCGCAAATCATGGGAGCCTTGTGTACCTTCGTAATTCTGTCTTTAGGGCGCGTTGGCGTCGATCAGCGTTTGGTAATCGATGAGGTAGCGCTTGTCTGGCTTCGACTAGCGTCGTTTAGCGCCGAGCGGCGTCGATTCGCAACAGCCAACAAGATGTGGAGGCCCCCAGGAGTTGCCGCAGAGGGGGCCCTTTTGGAGCCCGGGGACATAGATGATCTCATCGGCGGCGCGCCAGGGGGGAAGTGAGTCAGGGCGGGCCATCTCAGAAGGCTCGGAAGACCTCTGGCGAAGGCTCGGACGACCTCTGACCTTCTTAGAGGTTTTCTAACGCTTCCCCGGGGAGCGTATGGGGGTCATGGGAAGAATAAGCCTCGGGGAGCTGAGCGGGCTCCGGATGATGCCTGGAGCACGGAGAAATTGGTGGCTACTGGCAATTTTGTGCGGAATACGTTCCAGGACGTGGCCGTTCTTCGCCGCGTGCACAGATGGAGTGGTAATCGGGAGGGTCTGTCCACCGAGCGGCAGGCGGAGTACCGGCGGGATGCCGACCGATTTTTGGAGGTGACGAAGGGATGGCGCAGTGCACGTGGGACCAGTCCGATCATGCGTGGTTGAGGCGCCGGAATAGGTCGGTGTTGCAGATGACCAAGGAGGGCAGGGAGGAGCTGGCAGCCTTCGAGACGGCTCCGCTGCTGATGGATGGAAGGAAGGATCGGGCCTCGGGTGCGTGTGGCGCGGACAGGGTGAACTTGGAGAGACTGTATCAGGTTGCGGGTGAGAGTGACAAGCCCATCGCGGCGCTGCGTGCCTATCACGACAGGAAGGAGAGAAGCAAGTCTCGGCCGGACCAGATGGCGTAAGACGCAGGAAACTTCTCAGGAGGTGCGAGGGCTTCTGGGAAGTCCCGCCGCCTTCGAGAAGGCCTGCTCCTTCTCACTTCCCCTCAGGCTCGCCGCCGATCTTAACACGCTGGGGACGTTTTTTTTTTTTTTTTTTTTTTTTTTTTTTTTTTTTTTTTTTTTTTTTTTTTTTTTTTTTTTTTTTTTTTTTTTTTTTTTTTTTTTTTTTTTTTTTTTTTTTTTTTTTTTTTTTTTTTTTTTTTTTTTTTTTTTTTTTTTTTTAAAACCTAACAGCGAAGACTGATAGGTTTCTAGTAGTGTCAAAAGAGCTCACAGATCACTCCACAGGGGGGTCCGGGCAGGTGTTGGGGCGTTTCCGGGCGGCATGAGCCGGGCTCGTTTTTCACCAACAGTCACACACTTCGTGCTCTGAGCCTTCCCAGAACTCCATTCCCAGGCCACATTCTGGGGGGCCGGATGCAACTGTAGGCCACTTCGTGCTCTTCGACATCCCAGAACGCCATTCCCGGGCCACATTCTGGGGGGCCGGATGCAACTGTAGGCCACACCGTGCTCTTCGACATCCCAGAACGCCATTCCCGGGCCACATTCTGGATGCCCGGAGCCAACTGTAGGCCACTTCGTGTTCTTCCATTTCCCAGAACTCCATTCCCGGGCCACATTTTGGATGCCCGGAGCCAACTGTAAGCCACTTCGTGCTCTTCGAGTTCCCAGAACTCCATTCCTGGGCTACATTTTGGATGCCCAGAGCCAACTCTAGTCCACTTCCTGGTCTTCGAGTTCCCAGAACTCCATTGCCGGGCAACATTTTGAATAGCCAGACGCTTCATATTCCTTCCGCCACAGCTGTGTTTGGTTCAGGACTTGCTAGTGACACTGCAGTCCTCTGCATTCAATTGGCCACTACATTCATTCACTGCAGTCCACTGAGTTTTGATTGCAATGGCGTTCCCCTGGCCGTACCCCCATGTCCAACGTTCATCCGCAGCCTCTGCTCCGCGAGGCTCGTCCGAAGTGTCGCCGCCTCGCGGTGCTTCTCAGCCTGCGCCGCCTCGCGGTGCTTCTCAGCCTGCGGAGGAAGGTGGACAGACGCCTGGTTCTGGCGCTGTGCAGCCTGCGTCTTTCACGGTCGCCTCGTTCAATTTCGGGTTCGAGCAGGGCATGATGACTGGTAAGCAGGCGGCCACTCACTGCGCTAACTTCGGAAGGTTGTGCGCCAAGATAGTGGAGACCGCTGATGCTGATATGGTCTGTGGCTGCGAGGTCGGTGCGTTCCGTGAAGGCTTTCGCCGAGCAGGGATCAACGTGACAGAGATCCTCAGTAAGCCTTTCGGTGATGGCATTCGCTTCTTGGAGGTCGACAACTACTTGACTCTCTGGGGGTTCCGCGGTGCTTCTCAGCCTGCGGAACTGACTCTGTGCGAAGACAGCAAAGTTTACAGGCCTCCTAGCGGCCGAGATATTGATGCTGTTATTTCACATTTTGAGGTGAACAAACCAGGCCATGACAAGTTCCACGTGGTGATCGCCAACATGCACATCGTGTGCGGCAAGAAACCGCCGAGCATCCAGACTCGAAAGCGGACAGTTCGCCATCTCCGCTTGCACCTGGACGGCCTGGCCAAGATTCTTGAGAATCTAAACGAGGCAGTCGTTGTGCTTGTAGTCGGCGACGACAACCTCACTTTCCAGGAGGCGCGGGAGGCTTACCAGCGCGAGCAGAACGACGAGAAGGTATGGGAGGTCCATGCCACTCCGGCCGACCTCAAAGGCGACCACGTCGCGGTCTGCGGAGCAGTCGCCCGTTTCTGCTCCATTGCCGTTGGCGCGTCTTTTACGGATCGTGGCATGCGCAACGACGCACACGATGCGGTGGCGGTTGTGCTCACTCTCCCTGGTGCTATTCAGCCTGGGGAGAGCAAGAGGCGGAAAATTGTCGTCGAAAACGTCTCCGACGCCGACGTCAGCGTACAGGCGGACCGCGAGTCTTCTGTGCATTGGGATCGGTCGCCGAGTTCTGCTCCTCCGCTTTCACCGACTTCACCGGGTGATCCCGACTACGTCGAGGATGTCGTTCAGAATCGCGCGGACGACTTGCACAGGGAGCTGAGGCAGCTTTGGGACGACAGGTACGACGAGGAGTACGATCCGAAAGTCCTCCATCATCTCAGTCTCTTGCTTTTCAAAAAGAGGAAGTCCACGGAGCCAGCGGACACTGATCCAGCTGGCGCTCCTCAGCCTGGCTCGGAATATGACGCGGCCTTTGCGTCTCAGGAGGAGACTGGCCGAGCCATTCTCTCTGTCCTTAAGCTTCGACATGACTTTCTGCGGAGCAAGAACATCGACGACATGCGCTACGTTCTCACGGAGCCTGAGCGCCAGGAATTGGTCAGAGTAGCTCGCGACCAGTACGAGCAGTCGCGGCAGCAGCGTGCGCTTCAGGAACGGGATATCGAAAAGGGAAAAGCGAAAGGCAAGTCTGCGCCACAAGGGGGCCATGCGGTTCCGCAGGGTCCGAACAAAGGGCCAGGCGGTAAGAAAGGTTCTCACGGTGCTTCTCAGCCTGCGGGAAAAGGTGGCCAGGCCAAGGGTGCAGGTCTGGGTAGCGTCGCCAAGTTTGTGAAAGACCAGAAGCGTAAGCGGTGGCATCGCCATTTGCAACGTGTGGCCGGTACTAAACAGATCTGGGAGGTGCTGGCCTTCTCAGGGCGCTTCGACGTTGATTGGTTAACGCAAGCGTTGCAAGCTGATCACAGTGAGGGCCGTGATGCAGCAGTTCCCGAGGAAGCTCTGCGGCAACAGCGGCGCCGGCTGCACCACCAGAAGGCCGAGGCCATCGCGCGCTACAACGAGGGGGAGCGGCTTTCCCTCCATCTGTCTGCCCAGGCTGGCCAGGCAAAGCCGAACTTCACGCGCAGGCAGCTGGACGTGTTGCAGATGTTTGAGAGCGGAGCGCTGCTTCAAATCCGCAACCAAGCGATTCTGGCGTGCGGGCACGGCCGTCTGTTCAGGGGCGATGGCGACTACCTGGACATCGGCGGCAGCACGGGCGGTGGCTCCAGGCGCATCATCGATTCTTGGCAGCCGCCGGACTGGCGTGACTTCCTCCAAGACGATCAGGACATCTGAGTTTTGCAAGTCTCTCTGCCCGCGGTGCTTCTCAGCCTGCGGTCTGCCGCTCTCCAGCTGCGGTCTCGAGCAGTAGTGTTCGAAAGCATGCGAGTTCCTGCGGTGCTTCTCAGCCTGCAGGTTTCGCAGCCTGCGCTCTGCAGTACAAGTGCTTTTCAGCATGCGACATCCTGC